AGAGCATCTCCAATGCTCAAATGTAGTTGTAGTAAATTACACTCTACATTAACAAATTTAGTTATTTATCTACTTTTAATCCTCCAATGCACAAAGTTAACACAAATGTAGTGATGAGGTGGACATATTAAATGTCTACAATGTAGAGAAGGATGTGGTTCATCCACATTCTCTTTCACATCCTAGCCAACCAATAGAGAGAGGTGAGAGAAATATTATTACCATTTTCAAAATATCTAATTATTTAATTTATTTTTTTTCATATTTATAATTTTTTTTATTTTGGCCAAGTGGACAATATTGTGTTTGATTACATTGTGCATTGGAGATAATTTTTTAGATTTAAAGTTGTGAACTTAACAATTATCTTATGTGGTTCACAATCCATCTAAAAAATTGACATTTGTCAAAATTTATGTAATAACAACATTCAAGCATTGGAGATGCTCTTATATTTTGAAGTATCTTTCCCTTTATCGAAACTTGTTAGTCTTACTGATTAGCTTAAATTTATGGTATGAGATATCACGTTACAAATTCTTTATATAAATTGGCACACAATTTTGTGACACAAAATGTATTCCCCATATTTAAAATTATAACAGGTAACATTAATCCAAACTTCATATTTGAAAATATGAGAACTAATTATGGAAAATTTATCAAATATATTAGTTAAAAATACATTGTTATATATATTGAAATATAATATTATATATGATACATTACTTTGTGTGCTGCTAGACAAATTATCGTATCTTATGTTCAGATTGTATTTTGACTTTAAAGTCTCTCATACAGATCATGTATATGGGGAGAGCTTTTTGGTGAATAATAATTGGACTAGTATAATACACGTGTGTTACACGGATATTGAATTAGGAAGCTTTTGTAAAATTTTTTACTTTTTTTAAAAACCAAAATAATTTAATTTTATGTAAAACATTACTTTGGGTTTTAACTAAATTGTCAAATTGTATTTTTTAATCATAATAATTAAAACCTCGTACATTAATTGAAAATGTCAACCTGTGTTGAATTTTTTACTTATATCATATAAAAATATCGAAATTATTTACTATTACATAAGTACAAAAATATATATCTTAAATAAATAGAAATAATATGGTGATATGTACGTATATGCATAAGTGTAGAATATATTTATTTAACATTAAAATAAAAAGATTAATGTTTTTACTTAATTAGATGTGTAATACATCAACTGTCGTATCAGTCGTGCTTCACAGTTTTTTAACTTTATATGTAATTTTAGGATTTATATAAATAATTATTTATTTTTATTACATTGACAACATACCGATTAGATTTGAAATAAATACCATTTTTAAAAGAATACTTACCAATTTCTATAACTTTATAATACAATTTATAGTTTTATTTGATATAATTTAATTTAGTTTGATAAATAAATTTAAATTTTATTTATAAGGATATATATTACTGTTTTGTATTATATATACGGATATAATTTATTTATTTTATATATACAATATGGATGTCAAATCGAAGCTCATCAAAAGATGATTAATTTGATATATTATATATGTAAAAGCGATAAGAAATACAAAAATTATTAACTTTTAAAATATATTTTCAATTCAATGGTTATAATAGGAAACAATATTAAAATACAATTAATATAAATATTAATTTATATGCAAGCCTAACTCCAAAGCATGATTTTTTGCCAAATAGAATTCTAAAACATGAGAGTTTAGCATTCTGAAATTATATATAGAGGGGATGTCATGAACCCCACACACATTTTATAGGAAATTTTTTTAGGGTAGAGTACAGAGCTAATTCAACAAAAATTATTAGCTAAAACAGACATTCTGAAAATAAAATAAAATTATTTTATTTAGCAATTTTGTTCTAGACCGAATTTATTCAGTAATTGTTGTTAGATCGATTTAATGATCATTAGATAACCCTTAAATTTTTCAGTAGTTTATAGTATAAATTTACTACACTCGTTATTACAAACTTAATCAAAATCACAGTTGACCCATAATTTGCTTTTGTCGTCATCAAAACAATTAATTTACCTTGATGACACGCCCTTTCCTTAATCCACACTCAATATTTCTCACGTCACATTCACAAATTTCACCCTTCAAACACAACACAACACATATATCAAAAGAGTGAGAAAGAAAGAGAGAGACGTAAACGGGGCCGGCGCCAAATCACATTTGACTTCAGCTCCTTTTAACTCCCTTCTATATATAGAGCCCTCTCTACTGTCCTCTTCTCACTATCTCTCCTGCAAAAAAGCTCATATTAATCAAATCACCTCAAAATAAAAATAAAAAAAGTCGCTAATTCTAACTAACACTTTCTGCATAAACCAGCACACACCAAAGCTCAGAAGCAAAGAGAAATTAAATGGGGAGATCACCTTGTTGTGACAAAAATGGGCTCAAGAAAGGCCCGTGGACAGCCGAAGAAGATGCTAAGCTCATTCAGTATATTAATGCGCACGGCCCCGGAAATTGGAGAACCCTTCCCAAAAATGCCGGTATATATTGTTTTTGTTTTTGTTTTTTTNATGAAAAAAAGAAAAATTGACTAAAATTCGGCATGTCATATTTACAGGGCTTGAAAGATGCGGTAAGAGTTGCAGGCTTCGATGGACGAACTATCTGAGGCCCGATATCAAGAGAGGAAGATTCTCTTTTGAGGAGGAGGAAACCATCATTCAACTCCATAGTGTTCTTGGCAACAAGTAAGTAAGACTTGGCTAGCTAGCTACCTAATTTCTCTTTCTCTATTACATCTTAATCATTAATTTCGTCAATTATTTCCGACCATCGACCAATCAACAACCGCGTAAGACAAATTAAAAAAAAAAATATATATATAATTGACTAATGAATTAATTTCACGATCAGATGGTCGGCAATCGCGGCACGTCTTCCCGGAAGAACCGATAACGAGATCAAAAACTATTGGAACACTAACATCCGAAAACGGCTCCTCAAAATGGGTATTGACCCGGTTACCCACGCCCCACGACTCGACCTATCCTCACTCCTTAATTCCTCCCCTCAAGCACTCAACCTATCGAACCTCCTCCGAATCCAGACCCTTCTGAACCCGGAGGCCCTAAGGCTAGCCATGATGAGCCTCCTCATGTACCCACAAAACGAGGCCCATCAACAGCAACTCCAAGCCCAACAACACCCGGGCCCACTCCTCCAACCTAACCCGTTTGAAAAAAACTTTATCACCAACAGTACCCAACAAACCTCCCCTTTTCTTAATAATACGTCTGCCCAGCCCATGCAAGGGCTTCCCATGGGCCCCACCGACCCGATGACCAGCGGTCAAATATTAAGCGACCAGAGTCTCCCGACTAATTACGACCTGTCGGGTTTTTCTTTCTCGGAAATGGTAGGGGCAGAATTGTCCGAGTCATTGAACACGAGCAGAAGCAGTGATCAAGTGGGCCCACCGAGTTTGGGGTTAGACTCGGTTTTGTCGACTCCGGACACGTGTAGCCCGGTTGTTGGGCTGAATTCGAGCTCGGGATTTGTCAATATTGACGGCGTGGAAGATGAGAGGGAGAGTTTTTGCAGTAGCCTGTTGAGGTTTGAGATACCGGAAGGTTTGGATTTTGATGAGCTTATAGTGTGAGATTTGTCCGTAAATTGTTTTAGATTTATTTCTATCTTGATTATTGTTTAGATTTAGTATACGAAGTTTGGCATTTTATTTTTTCTTTTATTTTCTCTTTTTGTGTAAAATTATGTACAATCACGGTTTCGTTTGTACAATGTCTATGTTACAGTTACTTGACATGTAAGTATGCAAACATAATGCTTTCTAGTAAAAAAGTGTGTAAACATAGTTTCTGTTATAGTTTTCATAGTGGTCATGGATAGCAATCAAGCTATACATACACAGCTATAGTTTTTGGGCATTTTTATTTTGGAATTGAACTAAATCTAAAGAACTATTTTAATTATCTGATATATAATTCAAAATAACTGTATGGTAAAACACCTTCAATGATTGATTATGATTTTCGGAATAAAATATTTGGACAAAATTGACATTATCATTATACTTACAAAAATGATATAATTTCACTGTATGTATTTTTTAACTTTATAAAATATGAAAATGATTGAGTCACTATGGGCCTTTGAATTGCTTTCACTTTATTATGTTGATCATAATCACGAGTTGCCAATAGAATAGCTTCAAAATAATTATAACTATCAGCACGTACTCTATTTAAACAGTGATTTTTTTAGCCATTTTGAAATGCCAGACATGAATTTTGACCATTTTTAATGGAAGTTTGAATTTAAATTTTCAAATGCTTTTAAAAAAAAAAAAATCATTGAAATGACATTCATTATCTATATAAATTTTTCTCTTCCTACTTTACGATAATTTTCTATCACATGTCGTATAATAGGCTTGATAAATAATTTTAAATAATAATTAAAACTTTCAATGGAATTAGAAGTCTTCGTCTCCGCTATTACACAATACACAATACTGACGCTGATATTGGATAAGGGCTAAAAAATTAGAGAAAATTATAAAAATAATTACAGCAATTAATTATATTGTATACCGAGGTGAACATGTGGTAAAACCATGTATCCAATAATTTGGTGCCAGCTTAATTATTTTTAATGAGATTTGGTCTTCTACAAATAAAATAAACCACTAAAAAAACGACGACAAAGTCAAATGTTATGTCTCACTAGCTTTTATAGTTCTTCCATATGTTCTCATAATTGGTTTCTTAGGGCGGTACGACGTTCTACTTCTCCAAGTCGACATTTGCTTCATTTTATAGTAATTTGTTTTTTCGTATGTGATAACGAACCGTTTACTTATCAGGGCTTTTTATGACATCTACCCTTAATATATTTTTAAATAAATGTTGACATGTGTCATTAGTTTTAAAAATAATTAGACTCCCTAACAACCTAGAGTAATGCTAAATTCAATTTTGATGACATTAATGTTTTGAAATGAATACTAAAATGTATTATTTGCACTTTGCATCATATGCAAAATTGTAATTAGTTAAATGTATGCAAAATACAAAATACCGATATACCCTTATCATGTATATTTATATTATTTCTTACAATTTAATCATATGAAAATATCTAAAGTATACTTCTTCTTTTTATATATATATATATTTTAAATAACATTATGTTGTACTCCTAATAAAATTTAGTTGTATTTTAGAATACAATAAAATACAATTTATTTTTTTAAAATTCCTATTAAGTAATAAAAATTAATTCCAGGATTTGCATATATACATATCTCGAAATAATACCCGATGAAAAGGCAAAAAAATCACTTTATAAGCTAATAGAAAATTATGTCTACACTCGACTGATGGATTATCTCACAAACAATTTGAACATTAATGCACTTATGAAGCTAAATAAACAGAGAATGGGAACTCTGCTCACTCCCACTTTAAATTGAATTTTGGCTCTAAATGTTGTTTCATGTTTGATACCTTAATGGAAGTTCATTCAATATTACGTAATTGACATTTACAAAACGCAAACCTCCCGCGGCTATTATATGATCAAGTCAAAAAGACTTTTTGTCAAAATGACTATTTTTGTCTGGTATTTGCTTTCTTTTTCCCTTCTGCACAAATGATTACAAAATGTTCAGAATAGAGCCGTAATTTGTTAACAAGTGGAGTTGAACTAGAACACAAGTTCAAGTATTTATCAAACTCAGCCTGTCAACTATAAATAAACTGAATTGCTATTCACCGTCCTCCTATTACTACTCACCGTCCCCTCCAATTACGTTTTTGCCCTTCACTACTCTCTCTCTACTAATAAGGAGGGCGGTGAATAGTAATGCCCATAATAAACTTGAGCTCAAGTTTGACCTATAACGAGCCGAATTATACTGAAAGTTCAAAACTTTTCATAAAAATTCATATTTTACAAATTTAATGCGTCTTAACTAGTTGAGTCGAGCTTGATTAATTGACTAATCGAACCTTAAACGAGATAAACAAACTGACCCGAACTCGACTATGGATAATCGCATTTACTCCAAACAAAGAAGAATAAAAGATAGCAGCACATGGTAAAGCCAATCAATACCAAACATCATACGAAATATAAGATGGAATTCAAATCCCGCCAAGCAAACTGAAAAGCTGAAATACTTTATCATTTTGAACTTAAAATAAAGAATAAAAGTAGTGTTCGTCGAAGACTCGTGTATTTGTATTACCACCATACGCAAGTCAAAAATCGTTGCATCTTAATGACGTTTGTCGTAAATCGTGAGTATATAATTTATGGGGCTATTTTGTTTTAAGAAGATTGTATATCTACGTGCCTCGACTTTGTTTATTTCATTCATTTTTCTTCCATTTATAGAGCCATTTTCTTGACCTCAAATAACATAGTACACTACCTTTGGTTTTCGGTCAACGATGTTGGCACGATTCAGGTCTGATATTGCATTTCGACTGAGCACCTTAGCTCGGAACACCATTAATCTTTATTCAATTTCAAATTAAGTACAAATTTAAGCAAATTTACATCTTCTCTTTTTTTTTTTAAACTTCTTTTTCAGCATGATCCTATATATTAGTACATTACTTTTTCAGAACTTGGACATGGAGTTATAAAGAGACATGACTTTTAGTAGTGCAAAATAGTTATGTTGTAAAGAGTGCTTCTATGATTATTATTGTGTTGAATAGAATGTGGGCTTAGAAAAAGTGATGGTATGCATTTCCAATCAGGATTTGTTGAATTCTCACTTATCAATCAAGTCCACTGAAAAAGTATGACAACTCAAGAATAATCACTAGTTTCATGCACCAGTTTAATTACCACCAATTTTTCATATGTTTATGATAAATTAAGATTGAAGAATAAACGTCTTATTCAGTCTTGAGGATCATATTTGATATATTCCCCACGGGAATTAAATTGAATTTACTAATTTAAAATTATGAAATTAGGCAAATTACCAATTTGAGGATGTTCTTAAAACCAATGGTTAAGAAACAGTTTGACAGGTCATACCCATCAAGAAGCGACAGAAAGGAGCAAGAATTAGTTTGGTCAGGGTAAAAGTTGGACGAATTAAGTTTTGTTAAGACAACGAAGTTCACATTTTTAATATGAAAATTAGCCATTGTTATTTAAGTAACATTTTTTAGTTTTGGCAAGTGCCTTCTGAACTGATGTGTTCAACCGCAAACCTTTGCCATCCATGATCCATCACTCCGGATTTTTAAATCATTGCTTCAAGAAGACCATTAACTCTTTATAATTACCTATTTGGGCTACTAAGCCCATAAATATGTTTTCTTATTAACCCATTAATCTCGTACATATACCCAGCCCATTTCAAGCCTACTCTTGAATATTATACCTAGACATGGCTGGCCCGCTGATCACGCAGCTTGAGCCCGTTTATTGGGACTTGGTCACCGTTGAGTCCAGGTTTCGGTCCCAAACCGGGTCCGACCAGTGTAATGGATGCGTCGGTTTTGGGTTGTCCATAATAAAGCATGGACCCGGGCAACCCGTTCGGATTTGATCCAATTAAACGGTATCAAAAGCCCAAAAAAGAATAGAAAAAACTCTAAACGTCCGTTGTTGAAGTTCAAAGGACAACAAAAGGAAAAGTTGAATAAAAGAAGCTCTAGGAAATGGTAATGCCATATGAATTAACATCATTTCTTATGATCATATAGGAAAACAGTAAATAGAAAAAGAACCAAATGAAAGCTGAAAAAAGGATATTCATAAGCTGCCAAAATCCCCAGACACCTTTTTCCAATTTTCACTTTCCCTTTGATTCCCTCGAGAAAAACACACACACGCATACACAGGCTCTCTTTGTCCACACCCTTTTTCAAACCCTCTGGCCTTCCTACTAACTCCACTTTATCTTATTTTGTTATATTTTAAAAAAAAAATTTATTTATATTAGAGTAATACTAATTTAGAAGGATATGTACCCATTTTTATATCACAGTGAATAAACTAATTAATCTTGAATATTGAGTTGAGAACTTCATTTTTGCTAATGTTTCGATTATAGTCTATATTTTTATCAAGTTGAAGCATTATATGAACACAAGTTGTGATATATTACATATATCGAAACACAAATTATAAATTATGCTAGTGGCAAAATTAGTTTACTGTCAATGTAGCATAACGAAAACATATTTGCTTACATTTGTACAATATAACAATATCGTAAGAATAATTAAAAAATAGTAGACTCCAGTCAAAAAATAAAAATAAAAAAATAGTAGACCATACTGCATAGTATTAGCAGTACACATAATATCAAATAATGGAGAAAAGACCGTTCACTTTCTCACACACACACAAACCCTCAAAATACACACCTTTTCTTCTTCCAGAGCAAAAGATAGCATTTTCATTTGTCCTACATTTCAAGTAGAATCCCTTCACAACTTTCACTCACTACCTCCTAAAATCCCCTCCTTTTTGGTTAAAATCCACACACCACTCACCCTCACCATTTCCCATACCTAAAGGACAAAAAAAAAACTTCATCTTCATCTGCCTTTTTCTCACTCTAACCATAACCTACACATCAATCGAACAACCAAAAAATCAAAATTAAAAAAAAAAAGGAAATCTAAAGGGAGACATTAAACTCGGTTTGAATGAGAACCGCCATTGCCGTCTTCCTCCTCCTCTTGCTCCACCTCTGCGGCTCCCTCGCCGGCCTTCTCGCAGTGCCGGCCCAGCCTTTGAATCCAGTCGACTTCAACACCGTCCCGGCCCTACCGGTCCAGACGGCTTCCCGGACCTGCCGCCTGGACCTCTCCGCCGAGCTCTTCGGCGGCGTCGGCGCCGCTTGCGGCGGCAGCGTCCTCGACCGGAGCCGCTGCTGTCCCGTGCTCGCCGCGTGGTTGTTCGCCGCACACGCCCGGTCGGCCCTCCAGATCGCGCCGACGGCGGCGGCTGCAGCCTCGCCGGCCGGATCGGAGCTGCCGATGTTGCCGGACGACTCGCAGAACTGCGTGAACTCACTCCAGAGCTCGCTGAGCAGCCGGCACATAGTCCTCGCCCAGCCGAACAACACGTGCGACACCATTTTGTGTTTCTGCGGGATCCGGCTCCACCAGATCACGTCGCTCAGCTGCCCTGCGGCGTTCAACATCACCGGAGGACACCGGAACGCAACGCCGACGGCCGCCGTGAGGAATCTGGAGCGCAACTGCAGGAACTCGTCGTACGCCGGGTGCACCAGGTGCTTAGGTGCTCTGCAAAAGGTCAGTTGTTTTTTTGTTTTTGTGAATTCCATTCGCCAATTTATTTAGATTATCATTATTATATTCTCAATTTGACATTTATTCCTCAATCATTTGATCGTGTGGTGCAATAAATACATGTACACATATTCCTCATTTATTGCTGTGTTTATTATTTTAACCTTGTTTTTCATGGTTTTTCCAAAGTCGAGGAAAAATTATATTCATGAAATAATTTCTCCATGTTATGAGACTTCGGGTCAATTATTCAAAATCGTATATTCGGCTCTGTTTAAAATATTAGTAGATAAAATGAAGATGAAGACTTCATAATTTTTTAAATACTCCAATACGGCTGTGGTCTAATAATAAAATGGCTGGTGTTGACGAGTTTCTATCCAAAAAGCGGGGTCTTTTCACCTGCTTCATTGGCTTTTTGTTTGCCTTTCCCTTTTTTTTTTGTACAAGGCAGAAAAATTGTTTGAATAGTTGTACACAATTTTGAGGAGAAGAACAGTAGAAGGAATTCTTAAAGGCATTGATAACTTGGCGTAGTTTGTTAAGACTCAAATTCAAAATTGAAAGGGTGAATTCGAGTTTAACTTTGATCAGTTTGGTTTGTGTGGTTTGCTATTAGGTTGGCTTTGTATCGTCAATATTGTTCTGTGTCTGACTCGTTAATTTCGATAAATTAAGTAAGCTCAAGATCGAACTAGGTCTAGTTATACGTTAACACCTTCACATGTCACATTGGGTTTAACACGAAATATATACCAACTTATATTTGTAAACATTGTTTAGTAAGTCCCTAAGTTGTGATTAATTCACTATATATGTCTTATTTGGGAGACTTTCCTCCCATTTCCTCATGTCTATTATTATAGGTTCATTGAGATGGAATTTGGACTTGGACTTTCTTAGCAATGAGAACATTATTTTATACTCCCTAGTCCATTAAGCCATTAGCCATCTCATGAAAGACCCTATAACATGATCAATCATTCCCCTAATACAATATCGATGGATTAATTTATAGTAAATGACAAAGACCTATATACTTTGTGAAAAGAATAATATAAAATCTGTCGTATTATGAAAATACCTTATAATGCATATCAAAAAAATTCGTAATGCTGTACCAAAAAATAAAAAATAAAAAAAATCGTAATTCCCTTTCTTTTTGGCAATTTATTTACATACTATTCTACCGAATCACCGAAATAGTAATGCTCATTGCAATTAGTACAGTACTCTCTGAAAGTGATATTGAAATGTCTGTTCTACCCTTAACACCTGATTCTTCATCACGGCTCTACTGTAGGTAAAAGGGCAGGGTAAAAACGGAACAAAAGGACAAGACGAGGAATACGGCAGCGAGAGGGCGAGCAAGATGCTGAGCAAGGACTGCCAGCTCATGGGTCTGACGTGGCTGCTGGCCCGCAACAAGACGGCGTATATACCCACCGTCTCCGCCGTGCTCCGCGCCATGATGTACAGTGCCCACCCGCCGCGTGAGTCCACGTGCTCCCCCGACCAGGAGAACATGCCCCTCGCTGTCGATTCCCTGCAATTCGAACGATACGGCTCCTCTTCCTCTGCAGGCACCTTTATTCCGGTTCTGCCCCTAATCATTCTCTGCTCTCTTTTTGTACTGTAGGCCGTAGGTCCCACATTTTGGATTTGTTGGGCGATTTTGTTTGTCCCTAGACTGGGGTGGGGNAACAAACTCGGGTCATTTCTGTCAATTCGAAATCTCTGTAAATTTTTCATGTGTTGCGTTTGGTTGATTTCTTGTGCGTGTGTGTAGTGTTACGAGGAAATCTTTACTTTTTCACAATGCACAGTCGTCTTCAACTTAACCTCTGTGGCTCTGCCACAATGTCATTTTTAAATCAAATTTGAAAGGTTTTTTGTGCTGGTTAAAAAATCTTGTATGTGCAGTCTATGCGAATCTTTTGCTTTTTATTTTTATAATTGGAGAATAATATATTGTTAATTTATTAATTAGCTAGTATATGAAAACATCTCATTGTATGTGAAGTTTGAAAGTATTAGTATATAAGGACATATCTGTAATTAGTCATAAAGTGTATTTTGTATTCATAAGTTGTTATTTTATATCATTAGTATAAATAGGGAAATATGTACAAACCCTAAACTCATTCATTCATTTTCCCAATTCCAATATCGCAGTCTTCTTCTTCTCTCTTGTGTTCTTTCGCTTATATGTGCGACTCTACAGATCTCATATGGTATCATTCGCCGGAAAATCTCTCATTTCCGATCCTGATTTCGCTTCCGCATATTGATTCTCCTTATCGTCTTCCATCTCCGACGGCGATTCATATCTTTTTCATCTCCGATCTACGTTTTTTGATCTAAATCTCTCAGATCGATCATTCTCTCATACATACACATCAGATCCATATAAATCCGATGGCAAACACTCTGAATCCGACCGACGATCCGTCGATGCCCTACTTCTTACACGCCAGTGACAATCCTGGTGCTTTGATAGTTGCAGAGGTCTTCAACGGCGAGAACTACATCTCGTGGTCCCGATCTGTGATGATGGCGCTAACTGTGAAGAACAAGAGTGCTTTCATTGACGGCTCTCTGTCTCCGCCAATTGGTAACACTGTTCTTCACACATCTTGGGTTAGGGCTAATAATCTTGTACTATCCTGGATTCTAAACTCTGTTTCAAAAGAAATTAGACAATCATTGCTTTTCTTTACATCTGCGAAAGAGGTTTGGGAAGAACTCAAAGGCCGATATGCCTTGAGCAGCGGTCCTAGAGTTTTCCAGTTAGAAAAATCTCTTAGCACTATTGACCAGGGCACATTGTCTATTACTCAGTACTATAACAATTTTAAGTCTCTATGGGATGAGTACATTACATATAGGCCAATTTTCAAATGTAACTGTGGGGCTTTTACACATTGCACTTGTAATATTTTTGAGTCCATGGCCACTGCACAACAAAATGATTCAGTATTGAAATTCCTTGTTGGACTGCATGATTCCTATGCCTCATTGAGGAGCCATTTCCTGCTCTCTACACCTTTACCTTCCCTCTCAAAAGTGTATTCCTTACTACTCCAAGAAGAGTCTCAGAGAACTCTATCAAACACCTCTAACACTATTGATTCCATGGCTATGGCAGCCAACACTCATACATATCATAAAAATACCAAACCTCCTTCATACAAAGACAAAAAGAGACCCAAATGTACACATTGTGGCTATCCTCACCCTTCTGACAAATGTTATCAAGTCTATGGCTATCCTCCTGACTGGGTTGGTCCAAGAGGCCCCCGGATTCACCCAAAACACTCAGCCAATGCCACTTTTACCAATACTGAATCACCTGTGCATCACTCTAATTCTACTGATGCATCTTCCATGACTAATGATTTGTTTACTGAGTTTTTAGCTTTTAAAAAGTATCAGGAGAGCAAACCTATCATAGGGACTGCTCCTCCTGTTGTTGCAACTGCTTTTCCAGAAACATCAGGTATGTCTACTCACCTATCTTGTATGGCAACTAGAAATCTTTCTAAAAACACATGGATATTGGACACTGGTGCATCTGATCATATGGTTTGTAACATGTCATTTTTCAGTTCTAGCATCAATATTCAAAATGTGTGCATCAACTTACCAAATGGCAATACTACTGCAGCATGTGCTATAGGACATATTCAATTGTCAAATACTTTACAATTACATGATGCCTTGTTTGTGCCAAGTTTTAAGTTCAATTTAATATCTCTCTCTAAACTTGTTGCAACAAACAATTGTGTAGTCAAATTTCTGTCATCCCATTGCATTTTACAGGATCTGACAACACACAAAATGATTGGTTCTGCTGAGCTAAAAGATGGCCTATATCATCTGACAGTTCCAGCTGATACTAATTCAAATATTAATTGCAATGTGTCTGTCACTTTACCTGTAAATTCTGTTTTACCTGTAAACTCTGCTTTAAGGAAACCTTCAGACATTATTACATGGCACAATAGGCTAGGCCATTTATCATACTCCAAATTGCAACAACTTCATGTATCTGATTCTGATTGTACTCACCATCATTCATTACCATGTGATGTATGCCATTTTTCAAGACAAAAGAGACTTCCATTTCCCATTAGCACATCTGTGTCTGAATCCTCTTTTGATCTTATACATTGTGATGTCTGGGGTCCATTCTCTGTTTGTTCTCATGATGGTTTCAAATATTTTCTTACTATTGTTGATGATTATAGTAGAACAACATGGATTTACCCTTTAAAACAAAAATCTGATACCAAGGTCAGTCTCACACATTTTTATAACATGATCTTAACACATTTTGATAAAAAGATCAAATTCATGAGAACTGACAATGGTACAGAGTTCCATTTGCATGATTTCTGCACTACCAATGGCATATTACATCAAAAATCATGTGTTGAAACTCCTCAACAAAATGGTAGAGTAGAAAGAAAACACCAACATTTATTACAAGTTGCAAGAGCAATTCTTTTTCAAGCACACTTACCTTTGACTTTTTGGATAGACTGTATCCTTGCTGCAGCTCATATCATAAACAGAATACCTTCTGTTGTTTTACAAAACAAATCTCCTTTTGAATTATTGCATAACAAACAACCTACTTATGATCATCTTAGAGTCATAGGATGTCTTTGCTATGCATCTACACTTCTTGCAAACAGATCAAAATTTGATTCAAGGGCTTCAAAATGCATTCTTCTAGGGTATCCCATAGGTTGTAAAGGGTATAAACTTTACAACCTAGATACCAAGAAAATAGTGATTTCCAGAAATGTTTCTTTCTATGAAGATGTGTTCCCTTTTCATGACCAACAACTTATTACAACTAAAACTACCTCTATGTTTCCTCCACCAGAACCTTTTACTTTCCAAAATGAGTCTCCCATAATTCCTTCTACTATGTCCAGCCCAGACAATCAACTTCAAACCACAAGTTCTATAATACCTCAACCTACTAACCAACCTATTAACCAATGTACATCTTCTCCTCAGTCAGATAACATTCCACCTCCAGATATATTACCTTCAACATTACAAATAGATATATTACCTTCCAGGAGAAGATCCTCTAGACAGTCAAAAACACCTGCTTATCTTAATGTTTATAAACATTCTCTCCCTTCTTCAAATTCAGTTTGTCTGGACACATCTTCACTCATTTCTGGTACATCAAAATATCCAATTTCATCATACTTATCTACTGCATCTCTTTCTTATGGCCACTCATGTTTCACAGCATCCATAACTACTTTATCAGAACCAAAATCTTATTCTGAAGCTGCAACTGACCCATTGTGGCAGGCAGCCATGAAAAAAGAATTAGATGCATTAGAACTTACAAAAACTTGGGAATTAACCCCACTACCTAAAGACAAACATTGCATTGGTTGTAAATGGGTTTTTAAAATAAAATACAAGTCAGATGGTAGTGTTGAAAGATATAAAGCCAGATTGGTTGCAAAGGGTTATACCCAAGAAGAAGGAATTGATTATTTTGAAACTTTTTCACCTGTGGCTAAGATAACCACAGTAAGGTTTTTAATTGCATTTGCATCTATTCAAAATTGGCATATTCATCAACTTGATGTCAACAACGCATTCTTACATGGTGATTTAGATGAGGATGTTTACATGAAACCACCTCCTGGATATTGCACCAAAGGTGATAACAGGGTTTGTAAACTTTTAAAAAGTCTATATGGTTTGAAACAAGCCTCAAGGCAATGGTTCAATAAACTCACTGACTGCTTGCTTGCATATGGTTTTAATCAGTCCATAGCTGATTGCTCTTTATTTACAATGCACACTGCCACCTTTTCTATTGCTCTGTTGGTATATGTAGATGACATAATTGTCACCAGCAACTGTTTATCTCAAATTACAGCCATTAAACAACACCTAGATAACTGTTTTACCATCAAAGACTTAGGTCCTCTAAAATATATCCTAGGACTTGAGTTTGCACATTCTTCAAAAGGCATCAATATATGCCAAAGAAAATATGCTCTTGATGTTTTAACTGATACAGGTTTCTTAGCTTCTAAACCAGCAAAAACACCTATGGATTCTTCTTTAAAATTAACAGTTGCAACTGATTCTGATACTTTAGTAGATGCCACAGAGTATAGAAAAATTGTTGGCAGACTATTGTACTTAACCATATCTAGGCCTAATATTGCCTATAGTGTGCAAACAGTCAGTCAGTTTATGTCTAACCCCACCACACAGCACCTGACAGCTGTCCACAGGATTCTGAGGTATGTAAAAGCCACAGTGGGACAAAGGTATATTCTTTCCTAGATCTTCCTCTCTTACTCTAACTGCTTTCAGTGATAGTGATTGGGCTTCATGCGTTGACACTCGAAAAAGTATAACTGGATACTCTGTGTTCTTAGGAAATTCATTAATCTCCTGGAAATCAAAGAAACAAAACACTGTTAGTTGATCTTCAGCTGAGGCTGAATATAGAGCATTAGCTACAACATCATGTGAAATACAGTGGTTACTTTATCTCTTTGACGATTTTAACATACCTCACACTTCTCCAGTTGTCTTATTTTCAGATAGCAGTTCAGCCATGGCTATTGCATGCAATCCTGTTTTTCACGAACGCACGAAACACATCCAAATAGACTGCCATTTAATCCGAGAGAAGATTACACAAAAGATCGTTCAACTTGAGCACATTCCAACAAAGGAACAAATTTCAGACATTTTTACAAAGCCACTCCCTGGACCTGCATTCCAACATTTACTCTCCAAGCTAAATATGCAAAACATCCACATTTAACTTGCGGGGGGGTATTAGTATATAAGGACATATCTGTAATTAGTCATAAAGTGTATTTTGTATTCATAAGTTGTTATTTTATATCATTAGTATAAATAGGGAAATATGTACAAACCCTAAACTCATTCATTCATTTTCCCAATTCCAATATCGCAGTCTTCTTCTTCTCTCTTGTGTTCTTTCGCTTATCTGTGCGACTCTACAGATCTCATAGAAAGTTATGTGAACTTTAATTTTAGGAGTATGAATAGTTGTTAAACTGCAAGTCTTAGGCAGACGTAGTAGTTAATATAAATTTATATTTTTTTAAATAAATATTCATATTTTTAGATTGAAATGTCAAACTCTAAAAAATAAACATTAGTATCTGTGTTAGTTTTTTTAAAAAAATATGAAGAGTTGACTAAACTATAGTTGCAACACAAATGAATTTGTATTGTTTAAAAGTATATAGTCCGTTTTGTCAAATATATTTATGCTTAACGACTCGGAGGTGGTCTGAGTCGGTGGCTACCGCCGGTTTTCGGTGATCCGTGAATATTCTGAATCTCATTTTTTTTTTTCATAAAATAAAATATAAAGATGTTATAAAACACCAAAAAATGAGGAATGAGCAATTTCTTTTTTCGAAAATAAGCTGAAATGAACTCTAGCTTAATAATATAAAAATATTAAAAAGAATTAAAACAAATGTAAAATAATACTCTCAATGCTTAATGAATTGTATAATTTGTGTAAGATTTTTTGTGAAAAAAAGGTACATTTTAGGTCTAATTTAATGTGTTTTTGGTGAAAAAAAAAGGTACATTTTAGGTCTGATTTAATGTACCCACAAACGACTATCAGCATTTGTAGGTTGAAAGTGCACGATCATTATTATAATTTGAAGCTTGTAGTAATGAAAAAATTATTATATAAAAGAGTTCATGTTCGTAGTAATGATAATTTTTTTCAGATTCACTGATGGCATGATTTTGGATGCCGAATTAACATCCTAGTTATAACTACTTACACCCACTAACTTAAAAGTTGTATGAAACTATTCCAACCATAGTTTTTAAACCCGGCCCGGTGATCGATCCGGGCAGGTCCTCGGATCACCGGTTCAACCGTTGGGTCATCGGGTCAATTGCTGAACCGGATAATTAATTTAAAATATTTTAAAATTATATATAAAGTATTTTTGTTATATAAATATACATAAAAGTAACAAATTAAATGTTTTGTGTATAAAATTTGTATATTGAAGTATTAATAATATGTATTTCATGATAAATATTTATCATATAAATATATATACATATTTTTATTTTTAAAAAATAAAAAAAATAAAAATAAAAATATAAAAAATATATATGGACCGGGTCAACTGGGTTGACCCGGCCGGGTCAATGCCCCGGGTCGGCCGGGTTTTGACCGGGTCCTTGGTTGCCCGGTCCAAATACTCCACCCGGATCGGTTCCGACTCCGGGTCGACCGGGTCCCGGGTCGACCCGCCGGGCCGGTCCGGGTCTCGAAACACTGATTCCAACTACAAAAGAATGATACAATGGATGATAAAATGGTATATTTGGTAAACTTAACTAAGAAAACTAAATGATTCAAATGATAGGTAATGGTGAATTTTGAATTTATAATTGGTAATGTATGACTTGATGGCTGATAAACTACCTGGATGGGTTAAAAGTTGTTGATAAAAATCTAAATTAGTATTTTAATAAATCACTAATAATTATTTTCTTCCACATCACTTTCGAACCAAGTTGAAAAAAAAAAAGTTATATTAGAGTAGATATGGTATGCTTTTTATTTTATTTCACCACATCATTTTAGACCCAAATTTATTATATTGACAAGGAACCAAAATGAAATCCAAATGTTCCAAACTGCTTTTGATCACATGTTCACCATTATCAAGGTTTTATTCAGGAGCAAAGTGAAAAAAGAAAAATGTTCAATTTGTGGGAAGTGTGTAGCAGATAGTTCAAAGGATTAGTTAAGTAGTATAATTTACGTTGACGTTAACAAAAAAGTTTGAGAACTTTTGAAATTGCAGCCATATAGAGTATAAACACTCGAGAAATTACAACTCCCAAGACCGAGTATGTTGGTCATCTTGTCAATTTGTAGCAAAAATATGAAAGTTCACTGTTTTCTAATTTTCTTATTTAAATTTTAATTCACACAAGGATACATTCATACAACCGTATTATGTAACTGCAAGTTTTATGTTAAGCGGTATAACCCGACATTTTTATTTTATTTTATTTGAATAATTTAGCATATATTCATTAGAAAGTTACACATTTTAAAAAACATTATAAACAAAAGTATGACATTAAAACATATAAGTATGTATTTTTATTAATTATTTGTACTAACATTTACACTGCTTCATATAACAATAAATGGTAGTCGAACATACTTTATTTTCACTAAGGCTACTGTAGAACAATCATATTTTTTCAATATATATCATATTTTAAAACAAAGAATTCCATATTTTTAAAAATAAAATAAACAAATATAGCATTTTATTGAATATGTATTTTTATTATGAATGTATAATGACTCGATGAATTTGATCTCCTTACACAATAATCTATAGTTAGTTTATTTCAAAAATTGGTAGCACATGTTTTAAGGGAGGGAATCACGGTTTGATGTTTGTCGTCTACTTGAATTCCACCTTCTCACTGTAGCTTATATGTTTGTTGCCTTATTCAAAAGCATCATTATTCATTCATGGATAAATAATTGATGAATTATGGACTCTTTTTTAACATAAGGACAAAATCAGAAATGCTGATTGAAAGGCACGTTGACTGGTATCAAACACACAGCAAGCACTTGTTATCTTTCATCTTCTGTAATTTTATTTTAAATTATAAAATTTTCAGTTGCAATAATTTTCAGTCCAATAACTTTTGTTCAGTTGCCATTCCCCCCAATAAATTTTCTAAAATTTGAATTGTGTTTTGTGTCAATTTAGTTGTCTTCTGAATCCAAACTCAAATAGTGACATTCTTTTGCTCACCAACAATCTTCAAAAGCTTCAACACAAAGAATGATTGACGAAAAACTCACATCTTTTATTTGTAAATAACAACAAAAATAATAGTAAAAGTAGTACATATGACATATATATGGGCCTAAAATGAAGGTCTCGGCCTTTTAATCTCTTCACATTTCTTTGGGCCTCATTTGCTGACTAATACAGCCTGCAGCGCACTTTTCCCTCGAACGGTGGTAGTCTGCTGAAACTTTATGTAGTCTTTGTAAAACAGGCCCTTTCTTTCTCTTCAACAAGTGGGCTAGCAGGCTCCACAGTGCTTAGAAGATCAGGCCCATGTCCCACAGCCACCGATATTCTCGTCTTGTAGGCGTTCACCGTCCCTCGATGCTCCACGCTTTTGTATTTTCCATTACTTAAAATCTGTTAATTTTGACGACTTTAAAGTTGTGAAATTGAATAAAATATAAGTTTCATCCGAATGTAATGTCTAAATTAAACGTTGTATTTATTTTCTCTTTGGACTAATTAAGCCTAAGATTTGTCCCAAATATAAACTATCGATTGACTAACCATACTCATCTATTCTAACGAGTATAGATATTTTCACATTGAAATATCACATTTTTAAAATCCAACAGAAACAAAAGTACTTTTGACGTTAGATATTATAAGTATGCATTTTTATAAGTATGTTTGTCTAATAGACAGCCTAACAACATTAGGCCATTATGTTCAATAAATTACAAATAATTAAATTGCATGTTACATTAATTAAGTGATACTCAACACAAATGTAAAAACTAAAATAATAAAGAATTTATAGTGATGTTTTCATTTCGGATTCTTAGTTTTTTTGTTTTTTTTTTTTTAAAAAAAATCGTTTGAAATTCGAAAGTCTTAAAATGTCAGGATGTATTTATTTGAGAATTCAAAAAGTCTTGAAAAACTTAAAAACTTATGAGGTATTCAATTTATTACTTGGATTTTTTTGGACTTTTAAGATTTATTGATATTCTTAAAACAAACTAAAAATCTACACTAAATTCCTCCTCAAGACATGCGATTCTAATGATTAACCGAAATATTTTAAAAAGTTTCAGATTTTTAAAAAGGTTTAAAATATCACTCAAAACTCAAAATCCCAAGTGAATATACTTAATAAAATAATATAAAAAATGATGTCACACGAACCTCCAAATAATCTCCAATGTTGACAAGCAAAGTGCCCGGTACATGGTCAACAACACGCCATTCGTTGTTGTTTCTTATTTGCAACCCATTGACACCATTTTGCATCAATATAGTGATTCCACCATGATCTGAATGGGCCGCAAGCCCAAGTGTTTTGTTGGGCTCCGGGCATGGTGGATAGTAGTTATTGGCCAGAATCTGTATGCCATGGCCCATTGAATTTTCAATGTACCCAACATCAAGCCCTAAGCCTTCTGATATTGCACCTGCTAACTTCATTGCCACTTTCCATATCTCTTCCATGTACTCCCTTGCCACATTTCTTCACACACAAATATAACAAGACGATCAAATTAAGAACTAATTTTCTTTGTTATTCAAAGCATCAATAGAAGAATGAGCATTGGAACAAAGAGTTTGGGAAGATGCATGACCTGTAATTAGGAGGATTAAGAGGCCATAAGTGAAAGCTATTCTCAAATGGATGTCCATAGTGCCTGAAATAGTCTCTCCAGTGAAGGTCATGCTTCTTTGATGTGTTCAAACTTGTCCCATACCTTACAGGGCACAACACATCATCTGAAGCATATTTCATTTTCTCATCCAAACTCAGATCAAAGAATTCTTGAGCAACACTCAACATTTCCTCAACCAGACTTTCTCTAATCCCATGATTGATGATCTGCAAACATTATATTAGCTTCTTACAAAAATATTAATACTATGAAATGACATATTGCATTTTAAAGTGTGATATTTAGAGAATTAATTTACCCTAAAAAAGCCCCAAAGCTCACAGGCAGAGCTTATGGCTTTGACAGTGGAAAGCCTAAGATGACGTGGACCATCAAGGCCGCTTAAATCTATTACGGGGACTTCTGCCGTGGCTGCCGACAGCGGGTCTTCTTGCAGCGGCAGAACGTATTCCGGTGGCAGTGACGTCATCTCCGGCGAGGTCTCGACGAGGTATTTTACGCCTTTCTTCATATAATAAGGGCAGTTGTTAGAGCCATTAAGGGTAGAAATTAGATTGTTTTCAGACATGGCTAACGCTAATTAGAATATGTGAAATGTGATGAGGAATAGAGTTGAGGGGAATAAAGCTAAAGATAGTGAAGAAGTTTTGTTGGCTAAAGAGGTGTCGATCGATTGGACTGGTGTACGATTAATGAGTGCCTCCTGTCTTTGCACATGCAGAGTAGACAAATTTAATCCCCTCATATTTTTTTAAAATTGATATGTACAACTTATTTAAAATTAGTACACTTATGAATGGGATGCACGAGTACATATATGTTAGTTATAATATTATTATTGTGGAGTAGATTTTAAGTTCTCAACTTAAGGTTAAGGCAAATCTTATATCTTTATATACAACATATAATCTTTGATTTCTTCTGGTTCGTGATATTGTGTTGGTTGTTAACTGTTAAAAAAATTGATTTTGGAAATGGATCGTCTAGACGTGTATTCTCCTATCAGTGTTATCTTTCAAAAAGATAATTATAGTATTTGAGAACAGTCCATGAAAAGATTTTTAATTGAGAGAAAATTGTTTCGAATTGTGACTGGTAATGTATTGTCACTTGGTAAGTAATTAACTTGTTTCCCTACAAATTTTTATATGAAATTGCATATGTAATCGTTAATTAGGTGGGTTGACTAATCCTAGTTTTTTCAACAAAAATAATTCTTATGCTACGAATCAAATATCAAATTTTTTTAATGCTTTTTATTAGAGCATGACATTTCATCTTACAAGTAACATAAATGTGGAAAAGATATGACATTTCGTTCTTTTTTGTCGGTCTCTTCTTCTATCTAATCTGAAGTGGTGTTCTCTCTTGGACATTTTTTATTTCCTGCTCTTTTCACAATTTCACTCATCAACAAGATTTACAAATTTGTTTACTTATTACAGTACTGCTTCAAAGGTTTTGTGTGTATTTGAAATTCAGAAAGCCTTTCAAATTTGTGTGGAGGGTTTGAAAATGGAATTGTGAGGCTTTTCATATTTCCTAAAGAGTGCCACCACACAAAGACTTGAGGCTTGAGCATCACAATTCACATGTACCACGTTTTGTGCTATAATAAGAGTTCCAAATCATGACAACTTTCATTTCATAACATGGAAAAGCTTCCATATTTCCATTATTACTCGGTGATGGACTTTATTCCATTAACACAATTTACACATTCAATATATCATGGTAAGCCGTTATTCTTGACAACTGACAATCTTGAAAATTAATTTGACAACTATTGGAGGAATTGATAAATAGAGATTTCACTTAAAAAGGCTAGGCCTTCACAAAAAAATAGTTCAATATATTTTAAATGACAAATGCAATGCCTTGCTAGCTAGATTGTGTGAAAACCCCTTGTGTTTGGACTTGGGTTGGACCTTATTTTTCTAGCCCAAAGATAACTGGATTCTTTTGGCCCATCCAATCCAAGTGACCTGATGAGCCTGCTATTTATTATATTAAATATGGTTGACTTTCCTTCCAAGGTGAATAACCCTACATATTAAGAATTTATAATAATCCAAAACATGCACCAGAGTGTGATAAAATAAGAGAAAATTACATCCTGCACTGCACATTAACATTTTTATTACATATTTACAACTCATATATATTTATTTGCAAATTAACTAAAAGTATCATATATATTTACAAACATACTAGATTATTAAGCAACAATTAATTATTTTTAATTATGGTAAAAACAGATTTAATGGGATCTTTATCACGACACTTTTTCTCGCTCTCCCTATCTATTCTTCTTCTTCTTCTCCCCCCCCCCCTCTCTCTCTCTCTCTCTCATTATCTTCTTCTACAAATCCGCCGGTTCTTCTCACCCACCGCCCCTTCGCCACTTCGCCTTCTCCCATCCATCCATCCCCGCCGCGAACGCCTAATCTCCACCGTGGTTCAACGACCTCCGATATAGACGATTCAGATCTAACCGCCCACCACCGCCCCTTCGCCGCTGCTCTATCCCGAAGACTTCCGCCTCAAAGACCAAAGACTTATAAAGATGCTATCTTTGCCGACAATTTAAAAACCTGAAGCAAATGTTTGCATAAAACCCGTTTAGTATGTGCAAGTTACAATTCTTTTGCATATCTTGAATTGAGTCTGCTTTTTTTTTTTTTTGTCTGCAGATCCTCGTGAAACTATTGTACTTGTGTCCATAGTATTTTCTTCTTTTTTTCCTTTGTTTTTTTTCCCCTATTGTACTCGTGAAACTAATGCAACGTGAAAGGGGTGCCTTCAATTCCTTTCCCGAACCAATCGATTTGAACCAAGGATCTATTCTCAACAGCAGCACCCCTATGGACCACCACTCATCTTCTTGGATCTATTATCCGTCAGCCATTTTTTTATTTTTCCATTTTCCATTCACAGGGGTTGGAACTGCATATGAATGATCCAGTCCATCCCAAGCCAAAACCAGTATATGTTACACAAAATATACTTTAAATATACACTCGAGTTTCAATCGTTTCTCAAATATACACAAAATATACTTTAAATATACACTCGAGTTTCAATCGTTTCTCAAAATCGATTTCAGAACCCACATATACATAAAATATACCTAAGATATGCACTCGAGATCACGTACATGAGACGAGCAAACACAAAATATACACAAAATATACTTTAAATATACACTCGAGTTTCAATAGTTTCTCAAAATCGATTTCAGAACCCACATATACATAAAATGTACCTAAGATATACACTCGAGATCACGTACATGAGACGAGCAGACAAGAAGGTCTCAGGCGGTGGTTGAGCAGGTCCAATTGATCATCTTTTCTTAAATATGGAATATGGAAGGTCCAATTGGTCATCTTTTCTTAAATATGGAATATGGAATCAAGATCTGTAACTGATTTTTAGGCAACAATATAATTAATTACTAGCTATTAGGTACATACACAATTAATTGTGTATTAATGGTAATTTTGCAATATTCCTACAATCGTGTAGCATAAGTGAAAATGTCCCATAAAATAATGGTTTATAAACCAAATCCCTAACCAAACAAACCCGAAATTTTTTGTCATTTACCTTTTGTAGTTACATATGACTCTATATCCTACTTTAGGCCATCTCCAACCGAATACCCCATACTCAAACCCATTTTGCAGTACTTATCCCATTTTGCAGTAATTCATCTCCAACCGAAAAACCCATTCTCCAACCCAAAAGAATATTCTCGGAATATTCTCTTTTACATCAACTTTTATAACTTTTCAATACTACCCACATATTTTACAACTTTACAAATTAAACCACACTATTATTTTTAATTCAATTTGGACTTCATGTAATATACTAATTATAAAGTAATAATCATATATATACATAATAAAATCGGATAAATAAATAGTCATTAAAATTAAAATTTAAAAATTACAACACACAAAATATTAAAAATTACAACGCACAAGATGATAAATTAAGAATTACAACACACAAGATAAAATTAAAAAATTACAACGCACAAGATGAGAAATTAAAAATTACCACACACAAAATAAAATTAAAAATTACAACACACAACATGAGAAATTAAAAATTACAACAATCAAGTAAACATAGATAGTCTTTCAAGTCTCGGAATTGGTGAATTCTTCCCACAGATGATCAATTAGTGCATTTCGAAGAGCAATGTGATCATCTTTATTTCTAATTCTTTTGTAACGAGATATGAATTCTTCAAATCGAGTACTTTCATCTACTGCCATTTCGACCTCCGGCGGCGGCGTTTCCATTTCAGTTTCAATTGGTGCACTTAGGTCACGTTCATCCTCGACAATCATGTTATGCAAAATTATACATGTGGTCATGATATCATGTAGCACTTCTTTTCGCCAATAACGTACTGGTCCTGCTACAATGCCAAAACGTGATTGAAGAACTCCAAATGCACGTTCAAC